ACGAGCATTATTAGCTCAAATCAAGACCAAAGTTGATCTCACATCATCTGAGTCTGTAAAACAAACTTGCTTATGCAGGCCTTGAAAAGATTTGCTCCAAGACTCCCGGCCTTGCGACCTGCGTCTTGGTGTTTGTTGTATCAGGCATCACGGAGCTTGTGTTGTGATTCTTTCAGGTTCACGGGCAAAGCATGAGACATTGTGCAGCACTCGATGCTAAACAGCGGCGGTTGCGTGACCTTCAGAGAGTCCAGGGGCAATACAATGCGAGGCGTGTTGCCTCACACGGAGCAAGTTGATCTGCGGTGTCACAGGCGCGTTGGCGCTCAGTCGGACTGAAGCCCTCGCGCGAGGTGTTAAGCTAGGTCGCTCACTTTAAATATCCTGGGAATCATAAAATCATTAAGCCGTGCAGTTACTTCTTCTGATTAAGTCTGTTCTTGGAATTGGCCATCCACTTAGAGCCTTCGTTGTGCTAGAAAAACCTTAATTATCCCGTTAAATTTTGTACGTCTGAACTTGAACTCTTCCTAAGTCTATTATTAAAAATAACTTAAATAAGTATACAATAAATATTATTAATACATTTGAGATTTTCAAATGTCTTATTGACACTTTCTGGGTTCACAAATTCAGTTGCCTCTTATCACAACGTATTATCTAATTTTATACTCGACGAGCAGTCTAACTTCGGTACGCTACGCAGCTCCAGTGTCGTCTCGATTCTCGAAGTAAGCCTATGAAGTTTTACTCGCTTCATTTAAATGTATTTTTATAATAATCATAGGATATTTCACCTTAAAAATAAATCCGAATGCTTTGTAGTACATTCATCTTCTTTACATGAACAATTTGGAGGTGCCTGTTGTTGGTAGAAGAAGCAGTACCTACCATTTACACGCGATAAGTTTGTGCGACCATTAACTTAAATTGCGATAGCTGAAACCTAATCAAAGTTTAAGATTGTATGATAGAGTGTTTACATTATTTGTAGTTCCCGAACTTAATTAATTCGAACAAATGATGTTTTACATTGTATTAGGAATTACTTTGAAAAATATTTCTGCTATCAGTTGGTTGAATACAAAAATGAAAATTTTGAATATTTCCAAGGATATTAGGCAATTTTTAACTACTAACTCATGTGTAGCATTAATCTACCCCTCATCTGAATGAATTATTATTTTGTTGTAAACTTGTAACATGTAGGTGTGCCGAATACTTCCCAATCGAAATTTATTTAAAGTACGATTAAAATTTAATTGATATTTTATTTTTTTTTTCCGTCACATTTGCATCTAATTATAGCCTTGACCTCATTGCAAAAAAATTGCCAAACTGTATTTAGTTTAGCTTCTTTAGGTTATTCGTCAAGCTTATCTAGATTCTAGACTTCAAGTAGTAACAAACTCACAATTTGCTGCTCCTCGTGTTCACTGCTCAAGCCTCAGTGCTCACTCCGTCACTCGCCTGACTGCTCAGTGCTGCAGTTGGGTTGTTAGAGGTTAGTTGTGTTTGTATGTTGCTCGGACTATCGTTCTAAAAAGTGTTCTAAATTTAGTCTGGTAAGTGTTAAACTCACTACATTTATTTTATATATGAATAAAAGTCATTTTAGGTGGAATTTATGCAACATTTTATCAAATATTATACTAAGTAGTTAAATTATTGCCAAAGGCAATCCCAAAGCGGTTAAGGCGAAAGCAGCAACTCAGTAAGTACCTAAATGCCTTCTCCGTTGTGTAGTGCTACCGAGTTACGAGTAGCCTACCATCAATGCCGATCACGTCGTCACAACTCATAAGTGATGATAAGTCGCCGGCCTTAAATTGAAACCACGGACCACCTATTCTACTAAGTTACTAACAAAACAGAACTATATATTCCTAGTGCGATCAAAAATCTCTTCAGTTATTATGTGGCAAACCGCAAACGGATTCTACATTCTACAAACAAATCTTATTTCTTAACTAAAGTTAGGTAACTTCTGACGGTCTGACCAGAGCCAGACCATCGAATAGACAATAATAAGTAACTGTAATTCTAGCATTATGATTATATATATTAAGATATATTCGTTTTTTAGTGATGACGGCCGACGGGTGACTGACGAGTCAGGTTTAGACTTTAGCCTAGGTACACCTAGTCCTAGCTATGTATTTGTGAATGGCAACTTGGGTCAAGTTGCGTGTTTGTCTCTAACATTGATTTAATTTAATTATTGAATTGCAAAAAATTGGTGTATCCTTTGGCTTTGTATTTGGTCCAAAATTATGTGGTGATTTGAGGCTGAGACTCAGAGACTGTGAGTTACTAACTTGGCTACCATAAAATGGGGTAACTTTGACTACTTTTTTTTTCAAAATGATGTCATTTTTTACTAGATAAGTTAAACTTAAATTGAAACATGCAAAATACAGGTCTATACTCTAGCTTTACTCACCATAAATTGCTGCCTCCTGCCTCTCATAGTTTTGATGCAATTTAAAAAAAATGATGGTCTTTGTTACCCCAGCTCTTGGGGTTTCTTTGACCAGGTGGTAAAATCAATTTTATTTTTTAGTAAAATAACTCCAAATAACTCCAGATTGTGGTGCATTGTAGTAGAACTCTTCTAGTTACATAGGGTAAACGCGGTATATTCCGATATCGTAGGTAATTCCGTCACCTCTCCAGCTTTTCCTTTATATTAAGCTTTGTTTTAGTTCCATGCGTTCATTGATGGTTGAAATGGTGACATCATACATTTGCGTGTCGAAATACTGCAAAAACACTAGGTCTTGGCCATCTAGTGGGAAAATATTGAGAGCCATTAGGTGGTCAAAGTTACCCCATTGGGGGGCAGTGCCCCCCATTTGCAAACTATGACACTTTTCTAAAATTTGTCTTTTGCATATGTAACTAGAAGAGTTCTACTACAATGCATCAAAACCTGGAGTTATTTTACCAAAAATGAAAAAATTGGAGGGGGTACTCTGACAGGCTTTAAATTAAATTAAATAATAGCTCTTTTTTGTGGGTCACATTTTTAATTTTTTAACCTATTAGATGTACCATAATTTTTTGGATAATTCTGCCCAATATTTCAGATTGATAATCCTAATGGATGAGCACATATATAAATTGCATTTGAAGAATGTATCAAGTGTGGTCTTTAACCAAATAAACCAATTTTAGGGGTTACTGTTTAATTTCAATTTAATTAAATTTCATCAAGGTTCATTTCATTTTCAAGTAACTAGGGATAATTGAATAAATATTACTACTTTCATCATTTGAAAAAATGCAATTTTGTTGTCCAAGTTGAAATTTAGTCCATTGGCCATTATACATCTCTAAGAATATAAAGCTTGATTGAAAGTTCAAGTCTATAGGGTAAACGCTGTATATTCCAACACATTAAGGACGTAGCAAGAAATGAACGGCTATGAAAATATCACCATATGCGCAACTCAAGTTCTGATTGCTTTACAACTTTCAAAACACCACACTGCCCGCCAGCAATGATGAAATGTCACAAACTGTTGACATATTTATTTAAAAGCCTTTAGAATTCAAACCTACAAAATCTCTGAATCCCGACGCTGTGTGTGACTAAATTCGGCATATTGTCAGACTAATTCCGGCAGTGCTTCAAACTCTATTAATATGTAATTCCGGCGCCCTGTGTTGGAATTCCGATGCCCTGTGTCTGTGTGAGCTGTATGGGAATATGACACAGCTAGGAACGAGCTCAATTAAAAAATTTTAATTTTTTAATTGAACTTTTAATTAAGAGCTATTAAGCTTTTAATTATGAAAATTTTAATATTTGGACACAGCTTGGAACAAGCTGTGTGTGTCTAATTCCAAGCTCTGTCGGAATTAGTTTTTATGTGTCTATAACTGTTGCTCAACTTAATCATCTATTAATTTATTTACCACTTGAAATCAGCAAATACAAGTATACTTAAAGAATTCCTAATATATTCACAGACTTATTTAAAAGTCTCGAACCATAATATTCTTTCTATACAAAGAGTTTATCACTATTTGGTAGAGCAAGGTCAACTATCAACTTTGACACGTTTTTCGATGTTCTCACTGGGTGACCTGCACTGTCTCTCTTTGGATCTTAACATTTTCCCGCCAGACGGCCCAGACCTAGTGTTTTGGCAATAGTATGGCGCACAATAGTATGGCGTACAATAGTATGATGTCACTATTTCAACGTCATCAACAAATGCGTGGAACTAAGACAAAGCTTAATATAAAGGAAAAAGTTGAAAAGTGGCGGAATTATCCACGATATCAGAATATACCGCGTTTACCCTATCTTTATCTATGAGGAAATGATTGCCGCCCTCACATAGCAGTTGCCAGATGCAGCCCTCACTGATCGCTAGCCAATAATGGTCAGAATTTATGGCATTGAGACTTCAGTTGTAAATAATTTAGAGGTACACCTGAGTCAACTTCTTTGACCAAATTCTGCATCAATAATGTTACAATTCATTTTGTTTGAATAAGCACACACACAAAAAAAATTTAAGGGGATCTTTGCTTATCAGCAATTCTTCTGAATTATTTTCAATTTTATTAGACCCCAACAATGGCATTTTGTTGCATACACAAAGGCTCACCAGCCATCATACATGGTTGTCTTGATCTTTATTTATTGCTGCTGGAGGCTTGAAATCTGGGAGAATCAATTTAAAACTTGTCTATAGCCATAGTTAATGTTTGGAGAAAATTAGATACCATTGTGGTGGGAACTTTTTTCTATTTTAGATGGCTTGATGTGTAATAACCCAGTTTTTCAAAATATTAAAACATTGTAGAATCTAATTGTCAATCATAGTCATTTGTTTTTTAATTCATACAATGGTAGGCTGATACATTAATTTATTTTGTTATGTTTAGGTATCCTGGCTTGTCCTTTCATATATTCATACACCTTTTTGTTTCTATTAAAATTATGCATTCCCATTCATTAAAGATTTTCTTACCTTTTTGTGCAGTTGTACCCAGCTTGTCTTCAGAAGTTGCAGGAGACAAATGTCCTGGTTCATCTTATAACAAGCACAAAGAGAACCTCTGCCGCATGGGTGCCATTTCCCTGCTCAGTGGCAAGCAGGGAAACTTTTGACCGCTAGTAATAGCAAATTGCTAACTAGGCTACCATTAAAATACTTTTTTAGGACTCTATTATCCAAAACATCTTTAATGTATTCAGATTTGAGCTTCTCCTAGATGGCTAGCTGGACTCCAAACAGTTCCTGTAAGGTATGTGTTAGATAACTGTCTATAAAATACACCTTTGCACTCTCATTTCCCACAATAGATCTTGACTGCAATACACTTATCTCATTGGAATCATAAACGTGCATTATTTTCTGAGCAAATTATGAATATTCTCTCAGCTGTTCAGAATTTTTCATACCTATGTGGTGAAAAGGATTTATTTTTCAATGTAAGTTGTATCAATGCTCTCATTGATTGATTTTTAATATTTTTAAAATCATTGTGCATTCAGCAATGACTAATGAATAAGTCATTACAAATATACAACTGATGGCTTTCTTGTGCAGCTTTATTTGTGTGCTGAACATATTGACGAGAGTTCGTGTGGCCTCTACACCTGCAACTGGCGCTTCACTCTTGACGCACTTCCGCCCTGGGCTTTCTAGCTGCTTGTTCTATTTTATCCCTTCCCACCACAAACATTACTTGTGTCAAGCCTCCTGAAGACAAACACACAGGTTAGTCCATTATAGGTCAAACTCTGTAATTTATTTTCCAATCCAATTAGTAATCAATCAATTATATCCATAATTCTTTGAATAATTTCATGAGTTTCAAACAATTGCTGTAAAAATGCTTAGCATACCGGTATATATGATCTTGATCATAATCTGATCACAATAATGTTCATGTTCAAATGGTACTACTATGTGACAACTTAGTTCATTCCTATTCTATTCAATAAGTTCATTTCTGAATCATTTTTCATTTTAATATCAACTGTAATCATGTTGCAGACAACTGCATATCCTGCTCACTGCTGACACAGCCTCAAGAGCAACCCCTCACAACCAATAGCTTGTGAACTCATCTGTAAGCGTGTGCACTCAGTCACATTTGCTACCATGGAAATGTCTAAGGATATTAAAAACCTTTTCCGTTCATCCATTGACTCTGAGAGCACCACTATGGATGCCATCAAGGTTGGTATCATTTTAACCATTTATAATATTTTTATGATTTCACAATCAAATTTTCTTATTGGTTGAATTTGGAACATTTTTATGATTTTTTGTATTATTTTTTCTTGAAATTTAATCTGGTACAGAAAACTAGACAAACTAAAATTTTGATTATGATTTATATGAAAAAGGACATGCATTTCATTACATTTTTATTTAACAATGTTCTGTGGGAATTTGTCGGTAGTTACTAATTTTGTTGCATCAGTTCTTGTAACGAATTTACTTTGTTGTTGTAAATGCCCATCTGGGTGGTTGTTACTTGGGAGAGCGTGATAGGTCAGTTTTTAAGGCACTTTGGCCACAGGTAGTTCTATGACCATCTCTGGCTTGCTGACTCGCCAGAACCACTTTTGTATACAACACCCTGTAAAAGCCAGGCACTTTTTGATTAACTAGAATAAGATAAATGGCTGAGTTTTCCATGAGCTGAGCTTCCTGGAAGAACTCCTGCTCAGTGTGACTTGAATCTGGGAGCTGGGTGTGAGAGAAAGTCTCGTGCCACTGCACTATTGCAGCTCCAATTTTCTCCGTTGTCATACAGAGTGCAATACCCTCATAACGTATGACTGCACACAGAGCTCCAAATTCTCTTAATTTATGCACTACATTGTCCTGCAGAGCACCATAGCTTCATATGTATGTTTGATCACAGAGCATCACACGACGCAATGACCGCGAGCCTCGCAGTTTCTACCACGTAGACCTGGACGAGGTGGTGCGGCGCCTGCAGCAGTGGCGTCTCAAGATGCCGCGCGTGCACCCGCATTACGCCGTCAAGTGCAACGATACACCCGCCGTGCTAGCCGCTCTCGCGCTGCTCGGTCAGTGTCTTGTTGTTGCCTGCCACTGTAAGTGTGATAAGAACAAAAGGTGGTACGGAGTGTCCAGAAAGACTAGGGAGAAATGAAAATGTAGAATGTCAACCTTCTCTCATTGGGTTAAATTACAATTTGTGTTGGAGTCATTTAGCATGAGATTACAGTTTTATGTGATTGGAATGGTTTACAAAAGATACACAGAGGCTTCTGGAACCGATATATATTTGCAATGAAGCTTAAATATTGTTATGAATAGTTTTGCTACTTTCTCCCTCAGTTTTACATGAGCTGGTTTGCAGTCATGTCATCACTGTATTAAAATTAGTCCAACCCAAGCAGACTCTTTGATCACACCATTAAAATACATCAAGATGTGAATCCACAAAAAGTGATACACAAAGAAGCAAAGCATGAAGTATCTGCGTATTTACTCCTGTCAACACTGTTCTCATAGTTTTTTTTAATTTGTGACAAAATAACTTGCCATGTAAATATTGAAGTTTGTTTGGCACATCAGGCGCTGGTTTTGACTGCGCGTCACGCGTGGAGATGAAGAAGGTGTTGGGGCTGGGAGTGGCTGCACCTCGCATCATCTATGCGCATCCCTGCAAGATCGCCAGCCATCTCAAGTTTGCGCATGCGCATGGAGTCTCCCTCATGACTTTTGACAGCTATGAGGAGCTCGACAAGGTAGGACATTTATTTTTTTATTGTCTCAATGGGAGAGACAAGATTGTGCTCTATTGCAACTTTTTTATTGTTGAATTAGCCTAATTGAGAAGTGTACCCTGTCATTCTGAATGATGTACCCAAATTAATAAATTTGTATGTATTCAAGTATAAATTCGGAATGAATAATTTTGTCACCGTTGGTGAGCGAACAATTCAAAGTTTTTTTTAGTGTACTGAAACGTGGAATTGGACAGTGGCAGCTGTGGTAGTTACAGAAAATTTTCTAATATCCGAAACTTTTTGAATTGGTCACTTCTTGGGCGTTGGCTAGGGCACATAGGAAATGAAGATCTGGCTCTACACTTCTGGCCACCAAGATCACCTGATCTCACCCCATGTGACTATTTCTTATGGGGTTACGTCAAGAAAGCTTTTTACGTCCCGCCTCTTTCTGCAACTCTGGTTGGTCTGATTAACCGTATCACTGCTACGGTGCCTTCAATAACACACGATATGCTTTCTCGTGTGTGGGACGAGTTAGGCTACCATTTAGAATTAGAAGTTTGTGGTGCAGCTGCAGGGGACATATTGAATATTAATAAATATGGAAAAGTATTTCTCTTTCCATTGGTGTATAAATATTCATTCAAAATTCATACATGAATGAATACGAATTTATCAAATCGGGTCCATCATTTAGAATAACCCTATGGATTGTGAATGTTCTATCTGGACACAAATTAGAAAATTGAATCGGTATTGTATCGTTTTTTTCTATAATCCCCCCAAAACATGATAAAGTAATCATTCCAATTATTAATAATTAAGTAATAATTCTTATTGGCCGCTGCCAATTATTCCGTCGGAGCGGCCTGCAGTGCATATCTTTCCATCAATATGAATATTAATAACTTGCAGATTTTCTGCTCGTGGTTCCTTGATAATGTTAATGGCTCCTATCTATCTTGCTATCAATTCATCAACTAGTAGTGTTAATTGATCTTGTCTTTTTGTAAAAGACCGTCAATTAGTTGTGTCAATTTTTGCCATTTATCTTTTCATGAAATTATCAACTGCTTGTTTTATTGTACCATAAGTTTTCAAATTTTTGTATGAAAGCTAGCATACACCACACATCTTGGTAGAAACTTATATGTTGGAGTTTGTTTTGCATATTCCCTGTTTTTTTCATTCTGCTTAAAATTCTTGATCATTTTACCTTGAATAAACATGTATAATTGCGAAATTATTTGTGCAGATCTCCGTAATATACCCCGATGCTGAGCTTGTGCTGCGCATCAGATGCGACGCTGTCAACGTCCAGTGCCAGTTGGGGGTGAAGTTTGGGGCGCAACCTTTTGAAGCTCGTGCGCTGCTGCAGCGCGCGGCCCAACTCAATCTGAAGGTCGTGGGTGTTGCCTTCCACGTCGGGTCTGGGTGTTCTGAACCTGAGGTCTTTGGTCGAGCCATTGAAGCCTCAAAACAGGTTAGTTATCCCTTATATCACTATGATAACTGGTTCGTTGAAGCCTCGCTGAAAATTTGTTTTTAGTCATATATATTATGGGATTGATCGATTGATATTTTTTTCTATTTTTATTCTATTTTTTTTTTGTCACCAGTTTTAATTGACGATTTGAATTGTGTGCAAAAATTAAATATAGATAGCGAAAATTACTAAGTGTTTAACAAATGTTGAGGAAATATATTTGTCGAAGACTTGCTTAAATAAAGTATATCATAAACTATCACTAACTTGATTGAAGTTTTTTACCTGTGGAAACGGAACGTTTTACTAATCGACGTTAAAGCTCAAGTTTATTTGAAATACCATTTGCTTAACATAACCCAGAATGGAGGAGCTGACTATCTAGAACACATGCCAAGTTCTTAGTTTTTTATGGTTGACGAGACCTGTCCGTTGTGGTGTAGGTGTTCATTGAGGCCGTTGAGGAAGGCCACTCACCGTATCTGCTGGACTTGGGCGGTGGCTTCCTCGGTGACAAGCATTCCTCCTTGGACGAGGCTGCAAACTGCATCAACAATGCGCTCGAGCTCCACTTTCCTGAGGTATTGCCTTGCTGTCGCTGCTTTTATTTCTAACAGTCTCCCATTCAGGCTAGTAAACGCCTTCCGCATTTTACGATAATCTTGAATATCTTGTTATGTCCCCTGAAATGTATAGACACTTACTAGAGAATTGGCGGTTTCAATTATCCAATATGTTTGAACGAATGATATCTGTTATACTCTGTGTCTCGTGGAGATTATTCAGGCTGAATTCAGATATTCATCAGAGGAATGACACGACCAATACAGTGATCAAGACGTTATTATGAGCATCTTCCCTTTGTAGAACAAATAACCATCTACTGTAACTTGTAATCTTGGCCATTAACAGCCCTCCATGTCATTCGGTTTGCTTTTGTGGCTAAGTTACAATGTCTCGGTTTATCACTAATCCACTGCCGATCATTCCATAAAATGGCGTCACGTTCTATCATGGTATAATGATCTATAATGATATGAATGGCTTCACGTTCCTACCAAAAATTCAAATATGAGCAAGTGGAAGAAGTTGTGGCTTTGACACCAAAATTGATAGTCTTTGCACCATTAGGCATTTGTTACAAATTGGCTCTGACACCATTAGGCAAGCTTTCATGTACTAGCTGCAGAAATTTCCATTTCTATGTAACTCTATACCTGCTACTAAAAGTTTATTGCTCGCATCCATGGTCTTGGTTGCATATGTGCACCTAAAGACCTCTTTTTAGACAATCTAAAGATCATGTTACAACACGGGCATTATTATTCCTTTGCGTCTAATATTTCGCATCAATGCATTTCTTCAGTTGTGCTCTTAACAATGACCCAAATATTTCTGCCCCACAAACCCAAGCATTTTCTTGTCGCAGCACGTTTGCTGTGCGCTTATAATAAGTTATGCTCCTCAATGCACGTTATGTTTAGAGTCCTAGTCATGCCCGCCATAGCTGGTGTCTACGTATCTCGCTTCCTGTCATGGCTATTGCTGTGCCTGCAGAGCTCGGGCGTGCGTGTGATAGCTGAGCCGGGGCGCTACATGGTGTCGGCGGCCTTCACACTCGCCACGCCCATCATCAACAGGCGCAAGGTGCTGCTCGACCCCGCCTCGGTCTCACCTCCGTCCACGTCAGGACCCGTCAAGTCCGTCATGTACTTCATTGATGATGGTCTTTACGGCTCTTTCAACTGCGTCCTGTACGACCATCAAGTCGTGAAGCCTGCTCCGCTGGAGGTGAGTAAGGCTGTGGACGGCAAGGCCGGATGAGGTAATGAAGGACCGATGGCGATCAGGATAGATTGATGCTGATGTAGAACTCTCGCTTCTGCCATAAATGATCGAGTTTTTAAATTTTAGACTTGAAGTCTGATGGCGTAGAGTCCATACTTTACACTGGCAGTTACATTCTGCTCAGTTATATTCTCGTAGCTGATGTTCTCTCATTAGTTACATCGCAACTACAGTAGCTTATAATGGCAGCTCATTAGCTTGCTACTTATTTTGCCTACTTTTTAAAACGAATGTATTGGTTGATCACTTCTGATCATGTTTATAAATAGACAGGCTGATCACATGGCCAGATCTTTTTTTTTAATTTCTTGTTACTCTTTGATCAGATGCAGTTGGGTGAAGATCGTCTTTCGTCCGTGTGGGGCCCAACTTGTGATGGCTTTGACCGGGTGAGTTTATGTTAGACACTGATAGTTTTCTGCAAGTCTTCCTTCAAAATTTTTGCGATCGTACTTATTTGTTGACTTGGATGTGGTTTAGTTTACTGGATTACCTTTATTAATATTCACTAACTTAATATGGTGGAATTCATACAGTTGACGCAAGACTGGACAATTTTCACTGTCACGTAAGGGTGAAATTGCATGTTTTTCAATAAACCATATCCTTTCACATGCAATAGTTCATCATTTCATAATTTCGTTGTGAATGGAAATGACATTCAATCATTTTAAACGAATTTGGGTAAAAATACAGCGTGAAGAGTGAAGTAGGCTGTTAGTTCTACTTTTCAAGATTCACTTAATACCGAGAGGTTGCAGGCTCGTTGGAAGGTCAGTTACATGCAATAAATAAAACCCTTGTGTTCTCTGTTGTGCAGGTGATAGAAGGAATGCTGCTGCCGAAGTCGCTGGCGGTGGGTGACTGGCTGGTGTGGGAAGACATGGGCGCCTACACACTCGCCGCCGCTGGCAACTTTAACGGCTTCCCGCTGCCCGAGGTTATGGTGCACCTCAAGCCCATGACGAGGTGCGGCCTGGCGGTAACATACTCAAAACTCAAAACCTTAGCTTCAGTTAGTGCAAAACCTTAGCTGCAGTTAGTGCAAAACCTTAGCTTCAGTTAGTGCAAAACCTTAGCTTCAGTTAGTGCAAAACCTTAGCTTTAGTTAGTGCAAAACCTTAGCTTTAGTTAGTGCAAAACCTTAACTTCAGTTAGTGCAAAACCTTAGCTTCTGTTAGTGCAAAACCTTTGCTTTAGTTAGTGCAAAACCTTTGCTTCAGTTAGTGCAAAACCTTAGCTTCAGTTAGTGCAAAACCTTAGCTTTAGTTAGTGCAAAACCTTAACTTCAGTTGGTGCAAAACCTTAAACTTCAGTTAGTGCAAAACCTTAGCTTATGTTACTGCACCTCTAGCTTATGACGAGGTGCGGCCTGTCAGTTACAAACTTTGAGGTGCAGGCCCATGACGAGGGATGGCCTGCCTTGGCTATGCTACGGGTCCTGGCGACATTATTGCCAACAAAGGAAGGTAGTGCTGAAGAGATTTGAAACGCTAGTCCGTCATTGGCAATTGCCGTACTAAGAACCCGTTCCACTCTGATAATCCATAGCATAGCCTAAAAAGTATAACTCAGTACTCATTGGCCATTGCAGTGAGTGAAAGAGAGCGCATTTTTTCGTTGACGAAAACTTGAAGTCACAAACGGACAGACGGACGGACGGACATGGCTAGCACATAGTGCATTTTTCCATAAATGAGAAAATGCGCTAAAAATACTTTTAATCTTTGGACTAGGGAATCATCTTTTTGGTTCATGTTTTTATTTGTTTATATACAGACTCATATTTAGTGCTCAATTTGAGGTACTAATATTCTGATGATTCATTTGTCCGATTTTGATATTAGCTTTTATTTACCTTTTTGTTAATGCACTATCAATCATTCACTAGTTGGTGATCTGGTTCATGTTATATAAAACTTGTTGAAAAAGATATATTTTTTAAATCGTATAGAATGTAGGGTGCGCGACGCTGTCCGAAGTGTTAATGGTGGCATTTGTTCCCTTTGATGTATAATACGGATGATATAATTGATAAAAAATGGTTTTGATTCTCATTTCAGATTACTCCTAGAAGCCGAGTACGAAAAGCTCATCTCAGGTACGGTAGACAGCGAGCTGTCATCTGGCGTGAGCTCCGATGATGACTGTAGCTCGCGCGCGTCTTTGTCCTCGTCAGGTGACCTCCCTGGAACCAAATGCGAGCCTCTGGAGCTCGCTTATCAGCTCATGGACTCACTGGACCTGGATAAGGTACGCCGAACGCAGCTGGTGAATATGCTCTTCACCGAGACATTGCAGCCGAGAAGAGCAGCGTCCCCACGTCGTCTTAAGACCACCAACTGCTCCTTCATTGACTTCGTTGACCCCACTGAGTCTGAGGATGACCGTGATGCGTAGCTTTGGGCCAGGCTAGGTTCTCACAGGTTCTGCGATGGGTTTGCGCGCGAAGGTTTCAGGCTATTCAGTTAGCAGAACCCGAGCTTGCTGCTTACATCGGCTTCCTTTGAGAGCTTACCATTCATCAGTTGCATTACCATATATTTGTATTTTCCAAGCGTCAGTTGTCTGTAGTGTGTTGTCTTTCAGGGGGCTTGCATTTCTATTCAATAACACCGCTCCAGAAATTGGAATTCATTGCTTAAAAAGCAGAAGAGGTGACTATGTTATCAGATACTACCTCTCATTATTTGTATGCACCACGATCATCATTCTCTCTTTATTTTGGTGTTGATCACATTTTTTTCTGTTTCTTGTTAGTTTTGCGTTGAAAATTATCGTCATTAATTGTATAATTGTCCTCTCGGTATTGGTTTCAACTGCTGTTATTTATTACATTTAAACTATTTATGGACTCCTATCTCTTTAGATAACACCTGGTTATAACTCGGCTTGTATTTAAGAGCCTGCTCAGGTAGCTCTTGCATCTCACCTGACAGCATATGTTACTTCGCTCGCTGACATTGTTTATGCTGTAAACGTAGAATTGCTTCTATTTGATATCGACCGCTTGTGATCCAAACTATCCGATTTGTTTCTTTATACAAGTTGTTAATATCTCCATGTAGCGCTTGTAAATATTAAACTAGTATCGTCGGATGCATGAATTCCGAGTATTGGTCGAATGTCATTGATTTTACTTCGCCCTATTGCATGCAACCTAGCACTCTTTGTATTAGGTTGTACTTGAGATCGCAAAGTTATAACCTGTTGCCTTTCATTGGACAAATTCGACGCCATAAGATATTGTTAGAATGATTTCTGTGTATATCCTTAAAATTTCATCAGTTTGATATTGTATTGCGTGTTATGGGCAACATTTTAACCAAATTCGTTTTAATACCAAGCGTGTTCCACAATTTGTTTGGGATTTCATGTAGACTACAATTGTGCTTCCGTTTTGTGTGTTTTGCAGAGTAACGCAAGCTGATACATCAGAATGCTGAAAAAGCGCTCCGACGTCTCCCTCGAACTGATGTATGTGCTTACTCTACTAAATCTACTTGAGTAAAATGACGGGTTTAATTGCTTGGTGACTATTCCTTCCTTCGAATTGATATGCTACTTTTGTAGATTCCCTCACATGTCGGCGTCTTACCGTCGGCGGAAATGAACTTCAAAAAGTTCATAATTAAAAAAAACGGCCTAGTTGAATTTGTCGTGTTCGAAGATGTATAATTATAACAAGTTCTGCTGAATAGTTCTATTTGAGGTCAATGTACTGATCATACTGCTGCCCGTGCTCACCAGTTCAATACAAAACACAACTTAATGTAACCCACGAAAAATCATCGGAGTTTTTTTCCCACTCTGCACTGGTAAAGCGTGTGCATGCATTCCTTTACTTCTCATATATGCAAACGTTCTTCTGAGAACAAGGTTCTTGTGAATTTCATGAAGATGTTGACTACTTAAATCAACCTCTTCTGAGATCTGTGGGTACTAACCTAGCACGGCGTCATTGCCGTCCTCTGGACTGCCTTGCTACTGATTCCCCAGATTATCAGCCGCAGCCAGCAGAGATAAAATTAAACATAACTTTCAGCTCAATTAGGATTTCGCATAAGGCTGAGAGAGGGGAAAATCAATCAATTCCCTCCTAATAAACCATATGGTACAGCGAAATTTACTTGTAAGCTTAATTTTCTCAATTGCAAAAGGCTTCATCAATAAATCCAGGCTTCACTGTTGACAACTCACAATATCATTGATGAGCCAGTAAAAGTCTTGATACATCTAGTGAAAAAATAGGCTCCCAAAATTGCGCTACATGAAAATCGCGCTATTATTTTTTATCAAATATAATGCTTTAGATTTTGGGTTGCAAAATTTGAACAAATCAAACGTAACAGATGTGTAAGTGAAGATATCACTCGTAATGGAGACGTCTCCTTGTCGTCATACGACTAGAGTGTATGCAGATTTATCTATGAGTTTAAATTTAATTACACTTAATTTTTTTAATTACACTTAAATGTAAAGGAGACACGGTTCATTATTCAAACTTAAGAAAATACTTCTTAGGTAGTACTCTATTCTAGTTTGTAAGTACTAAAAATACTTCTTGGTACTCAACTCTACCATTCAAATTGCGTCTTTAGAACGGCAGTAATAGAGTTCAATGTACTTATACACGGGGCTAGTAGTTGCGTATATTGGTTGCGTCTACGGGAGCGCAGCCCTGCACCACAAATTTAGCTCGTAAACAAGCCCTAGCGCCAACGCCTACCCTATAATGCAATAAGTAACTAAACTCAGCTCACACCCAAGAAGCTGTAGGTAACTGAGTCATCTCCCCACACCAACTTTAAGGAACACCTACCTCACTCCACAGCCTGCGGAATCAAATAGTCAATTGTCAACAGGTCCTACTCCACAAAATTTTACCCCATACTATCACTTCTTACACACGCCGTAAGCCTTACTGGCCGCAGACCACGCCGGATCACCGTAAACCTGCTTTGCTATTTGCAGGACTGGCGTAATCCCGCCGCACTCCACGGGCAGAAGCGCAAACCGCCGTCCTTATAACGCCATGCCCCGGCTCTCCCCCTTCGCAGCCATAAGGCTTTCTTCAATTGCTGATCAGTTGTGCGCCAGGTTAGGTTAGGTTAGGTCCCTCCATCGCGCCAGGCGCATTACTGATCGGGCAACGAGAAAAGCCTTCTGCTGGCTGCGAAGGAGAGCCGGGGCATGGCGTTATAGGGACTGCGGTTTGCGCTTTTGCCTGTGGAGTAGAGCGCCATGAAGCAGTGGCTGTGACGTAACGGCGCTGTTATGTCGGGCGCTTATTTTCAAAAGCCGCGAATACGCCAGGCTGTGTTTAATACAAGCACGCAACAGTTTGGCTATTTGCCCACGACTGTTGCTTCGGTGGCTTGATGTTATCTGGCTGATTGATTCATATCCAGGAAAGGAAATGACACCTATGGCTTTAGGCACTTAATCACACAGGCTAATATGCCCTCTAGCGTGATAACGAGCGGAAAGGAATAGATATTGAACTGTAGGCAAGGGCTATGTAGGGGTCTATACTGCGTCCCGCGTCTACTACAGTTTTGCAGGTCGCGAGCCTATACACGAGTATAGTGTTTTCGGTACACTGCTGACTGCGCTCGCGTCAGTGCGACGTTGGGAGTTGTCGAGTAAGGGTGTGCACGGTGGAGTCAAGCGAGAGCAAGGCAGCAGTGCTCGCTACAGTGGGCGAGAGAGAGAGAGCGACACAGCTATGCTCGGTATGACGGCCGGGCGGCTACTGAGCGCAATATTATATTATTTATAGCAGTCTATTGCGCTCAGTAGCCGCCCGGCCGTAATACCGAGCAGAGCTGCGTCGCTCTCTCTCTCTCGCTCACTGAAGCGTGCACTGCTATCGTGCTCTCGCATGCCTCCACCGTGCACACCCTTACTCGACAACTCCCAACGTCGTACTGACGCGGGCGCAGTGTATCGAAAACGGGACGATTGAAATAACCCAGCATTGCCCAATACCAGCATAATTTTCATACTTCATCCCGTGCGCAAGCATGCTGCAGAGCAAATTAGCCAACATGATTACTTGCTGAAAGCCACAGGGACTAAATTCCTTCATGGATGTAAACCAGCGAGCCAATGACCTGCAAGCCGCCAAAACAATGGTCGTAACCCACACGCTAAACCCCAAAATATTTCTATTCCATGCAGCCTAGCCTCTTCCCCACTTTCGATAAAGAACGCCCTGCGCCACACTGCTACCTCTCCAGCCTGTCCGTTCTGCTGGAGGCTAAACCTCCACGCTTACCCCCTGCTCCCCCTCCTTTCGGTACCAGCTTGCGGAAGAAGTTTAACCAAACCTAACCTAACCTAACCTAACCCCTTAGCAAGCTGGTACCGAAAGGAGGGGGAGCAGGGGGTAAGCGTGGAGGTTTAGCCTCCAGAAGAACGGACAGGCTGGAGAGGTAGCAGTGTACTGATAGCACTGTGGCGCAGGGCGTTCTTTATCGAAAGTGGGGAAAGGGTTAGGCTGCATGGAATAGAAATTTTTGGGGGTTTAGCGTGTGGGTTACGACCATTGTTTTGGCGGCTTGCAGCTCATTGGCTCGCTGATTTACATCCATGAAGGGATTTAGTCCCTGTGGCTTTCATCAAGTAATCATGTTGGCTAATTTGCTCTGCAGCATGCTTATGCACGGGGTGAAGTATGAAAATTATCCTGGTATTGGGCAATGCTGGGTTATTTCAGTCGTCCCACGCAACCAATATACGCGACTACTAGCCCCGTGTATAAGCAACTACGACGGTACGAACCCCTGTTTATTAACAAGTATTCCTACGACTGTGGCGACTAGTTGCCGAGTGACCGACATGATTGTGTTGATGAATCAGGTAGTAATAATTTCAATAGTGGCAGCAATATTCAACTTAAAAATTTCAATTATAATTTTATTTTCTCAATTTGTAACCTTAGGATACGCATTTTAATGTTCTGAAGACGGTTCGGTTGCCAGGACTCTGGTTCTAGCAATGTTTAGAGGCGAGAGACTACGTCGATGTGCACCCTCTGCAATACTCATTGATTCTAGATTTAAAATTAATCGCCCTTGCCTGCAATCAACACTATTTTAGTCATATTTATTCAAATATTTACTGTAGAGAGAATTAGTTTCTCACGGATTCTCGTTTTAAATACGGTTAGCATTGATCATTATTGACAGTAAGATGAGCATTGAATGACTGAATTTGACTAAGTTTACTAAGGCAAATTTTTATGTAAGTAGCATGTAAATGTCAGTCGTCACTACAGTCCGGAATGCATCAGAAAAAATGCACGTGCTTAATCATATAGAGCTCTTGGGCGCTCTGAATCCCAAGTCATGTGGACCAGACGGCTTCCACCCTAGATTGCTCAAGTAATCAGCAACCGTCCTGGCCGGCCCTTTGACAGAGTTCTCTAAAAAAACGAAAGAAATGACCGGCCGATTGGAAAGTAGCCGAAGTGACACCATTGTTCAAAAAAGGTGACAAGATAGTCCCGGTAACTATCGCTCTGTCAGTCTGGCAGGTGTTAGTGGGATGCATGCCAGAGGCCAGCATTGCCCAAGACCAGCATATTTTTCATCCTCCTTTCCGTGCGTAAGCCTGCTAAAGGGCAGAGTAGACTAAGGGATTATATGTTAAAAGCCAAAGGTATAAATCCCCTTCGTGTAAATTAACCAGCGAGCTAATGAGAAGTAAGCCATCAATACAATCGCTCTACGCCGTATTTAAATCCGCCCAACAGCTCTATCCCATGCCATCTAACCTCACGATTTTCGGTAAGCAACTCCCTACGCCATACCGCTGTTGATACACAGCCAGCACTCCAGCCCGTCCGTTTGTCGCAGCTGTTTTCCCCCGGCATAACTCTATCTCCACGCTTACCCCGTCTCCCCGCCTTTTTTCACCAACTGCCGGACGGCTTTTCTTAGTTTCTACTCACTCACTTGACTGCATTACGCTATGAAAAGAGGATCTATACGAGTTGTAACCTAACCAAACCTAACCTAATTCGGATAAGCATTAAAGGTCTGCGAGATAAGCGCCTCCAGTTAGCCATGCGATAATGGTAGAGAGTCGGGGTAAGTGTGGGGGGAAGAAGATGCTGGGGGATAGTAAGGCAGGGAAACAGTGACGCGGGGTTAACGTCTTGCGGAGTAAGTAAGGTGATGACGCATTACCGTTTGTTACAGTTCACATTTGCGGCAATGCAGTGTGGTCAGCGGACACTTAGGATAACAGCATGTGTAAGAAGTGATGGTATGGGTTATAAAGCATTGGAGAACAACGTATTGACCGTTAACTATGTGAAGGAGCAGCTTGTGTGCTGAAGCAGTGTTGGTTTGAAGTTCGTGTGGTGAGCTAGGTCAATTGACTACAGCTGCTTAGGTGCCAGGATGACAATATCTATAGCATTTAGATGGTTGATGTTGGCTCCAGGGCTGATTTGAGCGTTAATTTGCTGGTCTACGGCTGCGCACCCTTGTTAGTAAGGTAATGGAATCTATTCCGGGG